ACACACACACACACAAAACAAGAACCTATTAAACCTGTTAAACTTTTGTCTGTATTATTCAATTTTTCTCCTTTATTTCACATTTTTCTTCCTAAATATTCCTTATATTAATATATCAATAATATAAAATATCGATGAGGTACAATTTAAGTAATCGATTGCCTTTTGTAGCCTTATGTTAAGGCTTATAACAAATTAATTTGTTATTGGTAAAAAGTTAAACATATAATAGGTATCTGAAACATTAAGCTTCAATTTCCGCTATTCATTTGCTTATAAATCAGAATCAAGTGGAAAATATAATAAAAAAAATAACTTAAGTGATACGCATGACGCATGACTCTCTCGTATAAAAATTTTGTTCCTGAGTTTACTTAATCCGTATCTTTTTTTTCCTCTTTCTGCTTTTTGCTTTTATCACAATCTGCCGCAAAGTAATTCTCGATCGATCGTACTTCGATGAAGCAAAGAAATTCAATTTCTCGTATGCCGATAAGACGTCGACATATACGTGATCATCACGATTATATCACGTTCTTCTCTTCCCTTCTCTTTTTTCATATATCCTGCCATCTTGTTTCGTTATCTTTCGAAAATTACTACTGGGAAAAATCACTAAAATCATTATATTGTTACAGAATAGCGTTCTACGACATATAGATTTCGAGAAAAATATATCTCACTTCGAGATTACTTTATATCAGAGTTAGACTTGAGAAAATTATGATATTTTGTGTTTTCTGTCGATGCAAATTACATTATTATCTGCTGCTGCTTGAAATTTAAAATTATGTACTTCTTCTGATGTAATCATTTTTAATTAACAGACAATGTATGCGCAAGCGTGATGTTCATTATAAATATATTTCATCTTCATTGTAAATTTTCTCTTTTACGTCAAAATCGATAAACTTATGTCTGAAGTTTCAATGTGGCATGCCTTCGCATGTAATTATTTTTCAAGCAATTTCCACGTGAAAATTATATCGTCACTTTCCACACAAAATTCAAATTTTCTTTTATCCGCCTCTGAAAATTGATTCCTTTTATTTCATCTATTGTATCACGTTAGCGCAAATATTCGGTATTTTTCAAATAATCAAACTTTAGTTATTAATTAAATTAATCTCTTTCGAATATCAAGTGTAAATGCTATTGGCTAAAATATAAATTACGGTTAAAAAATCATTTAACAATATTTATATTTTTTATCTATATCTAATCTCTACTTTCCATATGAATGTCTACTTTCCATTCTCTTTTCATTTTTATATTTTATCTTTTATTTATATTTTTATATTATATCTATATTTATCTCTCTTATTTATGTTTTTACATTGTATTTATTTATCTAGTTATCCACCGGCGATGTCACAATGGAGATAAGCAAAGCGTATTGTTCTGCAAAAGCGACTGTTGCACAATACTGGCGCTAAATGTTATATGCAAGAAAATTCTATATGACCAATTAGCGCATATCATATTTAATACTTGACAACAACCTTCGATCGCTATCATCATTCACGCTCATTTTCCAAGTCTGTATACATTTGTAAGTTCGTCCTATTTCAAGTTTAATGACGCTTTCGAACTTTGCACTTAGTGTTCGCCCGCGAATATTCAGAACAAAGTAATTGCGCAAACAGATCGATGGACTGCGCACCGGAATTTCATTATGACAAACAATGCATTCGTGACAAACGCAAATGCACCGCATGATTATTCGTTGTTTAATGATTTCCAATTAAGTTTCCAATGATGTTGAGACAACATAGCGCGTCGCCAAAAATTATGCGTCAACACACGACGTCAAGCACGTGGGGAAATAAGTCGGGAGCAAATAATTATTGCACAATGCAATTTGAAGTAATGTTCGCGGGATAACAAGACGAAGATCAAAATGTAACAATGCTTTTATTTCAAAAGTACACGTAGAGAAATGACTTAGTAATATTAACTAAATACCAGTGGTTTAACTTTTGCTAAAAGTCGGATTGCTAAAAGTTGGATATTAGAACTAAAATGCATTTGCTGCAAAGTAAAATTTGATTAGTTGAAAGTTAAAAATCAATTTTACGAAAGAAGAGCGGTTTTTCTTCAATATTCTATTCGTAATCGCGATTTCGAAAAGAATCGCTCGCAAGTAATACGAGGGCAGATGGATGCGACAGAGTTTTATTTCTCGTAATTAAGAAGCCACACAGTAACAATGAAAAGTACAACATTACGATTTTCTGATGAAATGATGCCTCGAAGATGAACTCACAAAATTGATCTCCAAAAAGTGAATAAAGGATTTTAACAATATAATTTCGTTTAGTTCCATGTAAAATTTAATATTCAGTTCTTTCGAGCAGCTCGATTTTATGGTCATAGGTGAGAAATGACGTGCAATAACTTTCTTTCGACGTAGAGTTTTTTTTTTAAACACAATAATTTCGTGATGATCAAACTTGTAAAATATGCAGGAAATTGAATGTATCCGATTGGTTACATAAAAATGTAAAATAATATTTGAAATAACGAGTCATTTTTCAGCCATTCTTAAACGATCGTGACAGCTGAATCATGGCTGAAATATGATCCATTATTTTAGGAATTATTTTACACTTCTACGTGACAGATCAAACAGATGTTTCAGTTTCCCATATATTTTACCAGTTTCAGAATCACGAAATTATTATGTTTCAAGAGAAAATTAAATAAAGCTATTTCGTCACAAAAAATTATTGCACTGCATGCCATTTTTCGCCTATGATATCGTAAACTAATATAACTATAGCGAGAAAAAGCCAAGCCTTAATTTAAAGACTTAATATTCTTTCTAAGAGATATATTTATTACTGGATGTAGGAAAAATTTATCTTTGATTCTTTGACGTATATATCGGTTCTCCCCATTTCAAAGACACACCTTAACTATTATGGCTATATTTCAATTCTGGCTAATTTTTTCTCTTCGTTGTAGAATACAATTACGTGCTGATAAGTAACGCAAGAAAATTTCATTCGG